ATGGCTCAATTTTCTTTCATTTTTTTTGGTTCTTTTTATTTAAATCATTCTATTGGGGGCTCATACAACTCTTATCACAATCCATACATCCATCCATTGTGTGAAGCATATTTGCACATTTGTTGCCCTCATCTTTCTCAAAACATTTGCTTTCCACTTGAGCCCTTGGTATCAGCTCCTCATTTTTTCCCCTCCCTCCCCATTCCCCTCTCCCTCATGAACCCTTGATAATTTATAAATTACTATTATTTTGTCATATCTTACACTGTCCGACATCTCCCTAAAATTGATTTCTTTAGGTGATGACTCTCCTTAAGAACCTGAAACTAGTATTGATGGAGATCTTTTCATATTAATGTATCTTCTTGTAAAAGGACTGTGTATAAAATAAAAAGATGAGTATTGACAGACTTTTCAAAAATCATTGGGGGCTTTTATAGCTCTTATAACTTTCTATAAACATCAGTTGTATCAAGTATAGTTGTACATATGCTACCATCATCATTTTCTAAACATTTACTTTCTATTTGAGCCCTTGGTATCAGCTCCTCCTTTTTCCCTCCACCCCTCTCCCACCCTCATGACCTCTTGATAAATGATAAATTATTATTTTTGTATCTTACACGGACCTCTGTCTCCATTCACCCACGTTTCTGTTGTTCGTCCCCCTGGGTGGGGGGGTGCCGGTGGTGCTGGTGGTGGTTATGCAGCTATCCTGTGATCGCCTTTCCCTTCCTCCCCTACTCCCCCTCCTTCTCCTACTATCCTGGTATCACTGCTCCCATTTCTGTTCCTGAGGGTTTTATCTGACTTGGATTCCGTGTTTTGTGAGCTTCTACCTGTACCAGTGTACATGCTCTAGTCTAGCCAGAACTGAAAGGACTGGGGCCATAATAGTGGGGGCTGAGAAAGAACTAGAGAATATTGTGTGCTTCATCAGTGCTATACTGCACCCTGGTTGACTCATCCCTTCCTTGTGACCCTTCTGTGAGGGTATGTCCAGTGGTCTACAGATGGGTTTGGGGGCTCTGCTCCGACCCCCCTTTGTTGTCAACAATATGTTTTTGTTGGTTAGCTTGTTTGTTTTGGATCTTTTGGTGCCTGTTACCCAATCTCATCAACATCTCATGATCACACAGGCTGGTGTGCTTCTTCCATGTGGGCTTGTTGCCTCCTTGCTAGATGGCCACTTGTTTAACTTCAAGACCCCAGATTGAGAGACTGTTTAATGACTTAAATGTTTTTCTTGGAAAGTTTATAAGGGGAAAATATTCTCCTTTTATACATGATGACTAAAACAATCAGTTAAAGGAGAGAGAGCTTATTACTCAATAACCAGGTAACATGTATTGCTGACTTATTACGAAGTTAGCCATTTGTTTCTCAGTTTTCACTTGTGTCTTTAGTCAAGGCTCTTTTCATAGAACAGATCGACAGAAATAGTTTATATATTTGCATTGATAGACTTTTCTTACAGCTGCAACTTTTTTGTTTTAAGTAAAATGGGACATTGTCTCACTTCCATAGTGAAATTTGGAGAGTCCTAAGGTGTCTTCTTCCATGGTAGAAGATGGCATTTGTTTCTAAAATGCCAACCTGTCATGAAATAATGATCACCACATTTCTAGTCGCATGTTGAAAGTCTTCTGCTTACTCCATCTCTCACATTCCTGAAGAAGGAAAGAAGTCTGTCCTGGCTGCCCTGTACACTACTGGTGATATGCTCCAGAGGGCCTGGAATGAATTACGGCATTGGTGTGTGCTGTGTGACATTAGAAGTGCTTACTCCACCTTGTATGATTGTGTTCAGACAGTGATAGAGTTCTTTCACAAATTCATTTTGACTACCTGTTTATATACAAGTATGCCTTCATTACTGAATAATAAATTCTGAAAGTGATAAGTTCTTACTACTCTTGAAGAATGAACGGTTGCATTATCAGTTCAGCTTTTTTGTTCCAATGTAGTTTCCCATTTTCTTAAAACTTCTTCGTAATAACCCCTGAGATCATCTTATATCCTTTTAGAAAATCTGTCAAAACTATTGTTGTTGTTAGGTGCTATCAGTCAGCTCCGACTCCTAGCCACCGTGTGTAAAACAGAATGAAGCGCCACCCAGTCCTGCACCATTTGCACAATTGTTCGGTTGTGTCCATTGCTGCAGCCACTGTGCCAATCCATCTTGATGAGGGTCTTCCTCTTTTTCACTGCTTCTCGACTTTATCAGGTATGGTGTCCTTTTCCAAGGACTGGGCTCTCCTGATAACATGTCTAAAGTGAGACAGTCTCCCCACCCTCACTTGTACGGAGCATTCTGGCTATACTTTTTCCAAGATAGTTCTGTTGGTTTTTTGACAGTATTCTTCACCAGAACTGTAATTCGGATGCATCTGATTCTTCATTAGTCTTCCTTATTCAATGTCAAACTTTCACATGCATGTGAGGCTATTGAAAATACCTTGGCTTGGATCCAGGGGCCCCTTAGTCCTCAAAAGTGACATCCTGCTGGAATCCTAAAAAGCAGTTGCCATGATCTTCTGATTTAACCTCTGCTTTGAATTGATTTCCTGGGTCTTCTGAACGTTCCTTCAAATACTTGATTTAAAACTTGTTTTATGTAGCACAGCAGAGTTTCAGTGATTTGGGATGATGTCTACTTGAAGTTTGATAAAAATTTAATTAGCTTTCACCTCAAAATAATTTTTCTACCATATACAAACATATCCCCCTTTTTTTGAAGGCACCCTAATGAGACTTAAGACAAGTTTATAACTGAGAGAACTTATCTGCAGCCATCCATTGATTGGATGTTTTGTTTGGAATAAACACATAAATGTATGAACTAGAACCTTAGAAGCAAAACACCATTTTAATTTACCCACATGTGAGGGTATGCATGCATGCTTGTGTATCTATATGTATGCATCTGGGTTTGTTTAAGTTTTTAAAATCAATTGTTTGTAACCAGTTTTTTTATTAGAAAATCCGACTTGGATGCCATCAGTTTTGGTAGAGCCTACTGAGGGCCTGTTTAAATGGGCACCAAAGACCTCTCCATTCTTACTCTGTTGCAGGCTGCAGAAGTGAAACCTAAGGTTAAGTTTCTAAAGTTACTGAGCTTTCCTCTGGTGAGGTCAGCTCAGGTGGGTCTGCACTTGGAATGTGGACAAAAGATTAATGAAACTGTGTAGTACCTTGTTATTTCTAAATGTTTTATACTTCCTGAACATTTCTCTCAATGTAAAAATAATATTTTGCCTTAAAATAGGTGATTAGGGCTTCTATCATGGTGGCTAGTTGGGCATTCTTCTTGCTATATGTTTCAAAGCATGTTCATTCTTTATAAAATTTAAGTTGTGGTTCATAAACAGTGCCCTGAGGTGGGGTGGGGTACATATTTCAGTAAGTTCAGTTACCATCTGCTTTACTTACTTCAAATATTATTTGTTGAAGAGAATGGTTAAATAATAAAACTGAGAGCGGGGTCGGGGTGGGGGGGAGAAAAAAAACAGCATTTTATTTGTGTAGCAGGGATTCATTCCTTCCACTTTTTTTCTGGTAAAGTGCTTCATTTCTATGGTAGGCCTTCCCCCTGCCGCTGCACATAAGTACTAGCAAACCTCATTAAGTCACAGACATCCGTAAAGTAAAGAACTTACATGCTGGCTGCTACTTAATTACTTACTTTGAATTTGAGGTTAGGAATTATTTTCAAATGACGTATTTGAAAATATATTTGTTTTGATTATGGGGGGGAAAAAACAAACCTGTCTTTACTTTGAAGCTCTTTTGATTGGTAAGGAAAGGTTGTCACAGAGCTTTTACTTTTTAAGAAAAAGTGTCTCCCAGATTACAAGTGGAAAAAGTAGTGGCTGTAGCTATTCCCCATGATAATTTGACTTTTGTTCTGAGAAGTTTGCTTTTGGCTAGTTAGAGGTGGGGAAAACACTTCCCTTCCTGAGTTGTTGGAGCTCAGACTTGGAAGGATTTTCAGGTTACTACTATATAGAAACATTGTGCAGAGCAAACGCTACTCCGTGGAGAAAATGACTGGTGGAAAATATTGCTGGAAATGTGTACTGCCGGGAAAGTGTAACATTATTTAGGACCCCTTTTCACCTTCGTAATGTTTGCTATGTGATCACAAGCTGAGCATTTATTCACATCACAACACTTTTCCTGTCTTTATGTGAGGAGTTAATTTTTAGGTTCTGGAATTAATTAGTTTTCATAAGCATTACAGGGGAAATCCTTTTTTGTTACATCCCTTTTAACTTAGAATTTGAAATTTTACATACATTTTAAATGCATTTGCTTATCAGTTGTTACTTAGTTTAATAAGTGGACATACCAGAGCAAATGTTTTTTAAGGGTTATGAACAGATAACTGGCTAGGATTACATTGACATCTCTTGCCATCTGGAAAGTTAGGTTAATTATTTTTCTAACTTGGATTATATTTTGCATTACTGTCTTCATTGAACTTGCCGATTGTGTCTACTAAGCAGCTGTTAGGTAAAGGTTTTTTGTTTTTCATTTTGGTGCGAAGATCATTGTTCATAGAAATGCTTTCTGGTGTGAAATGTGGAACTTACTTTATTTGAACTGCTGTCAGGTTAGTGTTGAACAGTAGAGTTGCTAATTCAAGTTTGCTTTGGAAATGTCTTCAAAGGTTTTTGAGTAGTAAGAAAAGAAAATTTGTCAAGGCCTTAAAATGGTTCTTTCACAGAAGAATGAAGTTCTTCGGCGAGAATTGTTCCTTGGAGGAATTTGGTTTACTTTTTGGTTTTATTGATCATTTATGTGATCCTAATTAGTACTCCTTTTACTTCTCAGGTAGATTATAACAGACTTGTTCTTGAGAGATTTTGAACAACTTCTGCAAACTACTCATTGCTGCTTTATTCTGTTACCTCTTTTCCTTGTAAGCATGCAGATCTGGCATTAAAAATAAATTAAAACCAGAGGGTAAATTAATTAAATTTTTTTTAATGTTACAGATTTAATTCAGTGCACAAATGAGATGAATGTGAACATCCCACAGCTGGCTGACAGTTTGTTTGAAAGAACTACTAACAGTAGTTGGGTGGTGGTCTTCAAGTCTCTCATTACAACTCATCATTTGATGGTGTATGGAAATGAGGTAAGCAGACTTTCGGATGATAGTATACTTGTATTATAAATTGATTCATCAGCTGGCTTCTCTCAGGAAACTTAAAGAATCACTTCTTAAGCCAGATAAGATGTACAGGTGAAAATAGCAAGACACCTAGCCAAAAATAAACGTTTAGGTCCTGAAATTTGGAGAAGGAGGTGTCCTGTAAGCCAGGAAGCAGGAAAGGTGAGGTCAGAGCACAGAGGACTTGATTGCTGGAATCATAAAGCATAGAGAACACCTACACGTGGGATTCACAAAACCACTGCTCCTTGTGGCCTCGTTTAGAGATTCGGTATTTGCCTAAGTTCATTTACTTTTGAAATAGTTACATCCTCATGTGTAAGCATTTTGCCTAGTTTCTAAATTGTAATAATGAGAAATGTGAGGCATTTCTGGAGAGTGCCTGAGGAACAGTGTCTTCTTCAGAGAGGTGTCTCTGAAGTCTTTGTTACCCAAATGGGAAGAAGTAAGATATGTCAGCTTTTGCAGTGGTTGTTCAGTGACCCGGTGCCACTTCTAACTTACAATGACCCCAGAGTACAACAGAATGAAACACTCCCTATCTTGTGCTCCGTCATGATAGTTGCTGTGCTTTTAGCCCATGTTGCATACCTCTCACTGCGTATCTTCCTCTTTTTCACTGGCACTTAGCTTTTCCAAGCATGATGCTCTTCAGGGATTTCTCTCTTCTGATAATCTGACCGAAATACATGAGACGAAGTGTCACCATCCTCACTTCAAAGAGTGTCTGGTTTGCTTCTAAGACGGATTTGTTCAATCTTCTGACCAAACTAAAACCAAACTCACCTACTCATTTTGTTTTTTATTCTTCTGACAGTCCATGATATGTTCAATATTCTTCATCAATACCATAATTCAAAGTCATCAGATTTTCAAGTCTTACTCATTGTCTTGCTTTTGAGTCCATATGAGACCATTTAAAATACCATGGCTTGTGTTAGGTGTTCCTTAGTCCTCAAAGTGACATCTTTACTTCTTACACTTTAATGAGGTCTTTGGTAGCAGGTTTGCCCAGTACAGCACACAGTTCAATTTCTTACTGCTGTTTCCATAGCTGTTGATTATGAATCTAGGTATATGATTAGAAGCATTTTATATTTTTTTAAAAAACATCAAAATTGGGGGCATTCAGATAGCTGTTTAAAATAGAAATGACATCAGAGTATGGTTACGTGCATCTCTAATGGGCTACAGTAAAACCAAAATAACCGGTTCCGTTTGTGCTTCAGTTTTATATTGACTTTACTATTATAGGTATGGTTTTTAAGCTTTAATGATTTCTCGTGCTACTGAAATATGTGCATTATATTTTTAGCTTTAATAACTAGTTAATAGGAGATATAAGGATGAGAAATTTGAAGTAGGTAAACTGAATGGAATATGTTAAGATTAGCTTGCCCCCCTCAATTACCAAAATCAGCATTGTTAGATGATAGTACCTTATATTGACATAATTATTTGTTGGTGTTTTTTATAGCGCTTCATTCAGTATTTGGCTTCAAGAAACACGTTGTTTAACTTAAGCAATTTTTTGGATAAAAGTGGATTGCAAGGTAAAGACAATTTATTCATTATAGAAAATCAAAAGTGTGACCACACCCAGTGATTATTGCATAGTTAATACCCGTATCTGTTGTTTTATTTACTTATTTTTAATTCAGTAGCTTGAAACTGCTAGATTAGGTGGCATGTTCTCTCTGAATGGGATCTATTGTACTTAAATCCAGAACTAAGCCATTAGCATTTAGTCCGAAATAATTTATAAGGCTGTTCTGCATTGTAAATAGCTAGAGATGTCAGGAATATTATTAAAATTATAATTTGAGGAATGAAGTGGTTCCATAAGAAGTTAAGTATGAAAGAGATACATTTTCCAATTCCTGTTGAAGTGATAAGAATGCTAATCACAAATAAAATAGACTATTAGTACATTCTAAAGGAAGATCACCCCAACCCCATCCAATTAAAGACATGTGACATATGTCTTACCAGACTTTTAAAAAAATTTTGAAGTCTTTGAAAATTTTATATGATATTATTATTCATTAGCTCCTTTCTACCATTAAATTAAGTTGGTATATTAAGACGTGATTGCTGTTGGTATATAATGTGCTGGTTTTCTGAGCAAAATGGAATTATAATCACTTATGAAAAACTACTTTTCTCTTACAGGATATGACATGTCTACATTTATTAGGCGGTATAGTAGATATCTCAATGAAAAGGCTGTTTCATACAGACAAGTTGCATTTGATTTCACAAAAGTGAAAAGAGGGTGAGTTGAACTTTTTGGGTTTTTTTGAAAAATATAATTAGATTTAATATTTTAAAATCTAATTTTGGGATTTCATTTTTCTTTTTTTGGTTCAAGGATATTTGAAAGTTCCTATTTTTACAACAACTTCATTCAGCTACAAGTCAGATACAATAAAATTCATCATTTTAAAGTATATATTTCATTGGTCTTTAGTAAACTTGAAAATTGACATACATTGCTGCTATCTAATTAAAGAACATTGTATCACTCCCTAAAAGAGATCCCCATGCCTATTAGCAATCACTTCCCAGTCCTCTCTCCTCCTACATGGCAGCCACTAATCTACTTTCACTCTCTATGGATTTAGCTATTTTAGACATAGTATATAAATACAATCATATGAGATGACTTTTTGTGACTGACTTCTTACAGTCAACATATTGTATTTGAGGTGTATTCACATTATAGCATATGCCATTCATCCTTTGTTCTGTAGGGTCACTGTGGGTCAGAATGGACTCAATTGCCGTGAGTTCGGTTTTGCATGTTAGGGAACTAAATTGTTAAAAGTTACTCTTGACTTTCTCCACAATCTTAATTCTTGTTTTTTTTCCTTTTAACACTGTTAGAAGTTGGAGCTTTCTACCTCTAAATGATCGGTTATTTATGTTTTTATAGATTTATGGATTCAGTATTTTATATTTAAATCTTTGATTCATTTTTTGGGGTTTATTTGAAGTTAAAAAAGTGAGGTAAGGGGACATCAATATTTTTTATAGTAGAAATATGAGGTATTCAAAAGACAAAATTAATTCTTACTCAGGTAATGATTAGATGGCTTTTCATGGAAGTGCTTTTTTTCTTTCTGTAAAGCCGTGATTTTCAACCTTTCTAATGCTGCGACCCTTTAATACAGTTCCTCATACTGTGGTGACCCCCCCCAACCATAAAATTATTTTCGTTGCTACTTCATAACTGTAATTTTGCTTCTGTTATGAATTGCGTGACCCCTGTGAAAGGATCGTTTTCCCCCCAAAGTGGTTGCGACCCACAGGTTGAAAACCACTGCTGAAAAGTCTCTTGTATGTGATGTGGCAGGTTTTTAGTTATTCTTTAAGAATTCATTTAGTTTTTTGGCTCTCTGCACGACACCATGGCGGTTGGCAAGAACAAGCGCCTTACAAAAGGTGGCCAAAAAGGAGCTAAGAAGAAAGTGGTTGATCCATTTTCTAAGAAAGATTGGTATGATGTGAAAGCACCAGCTATGTTCAATATAAGAAATATTGGGAGAGCACTAGTCACCAGGACTCAAGGAACCAAAATTGCATCTGATGACCTCAAGGGCCGAGTTTTTGAAGTGAGCCTTGTTGATCTGCAAAATGATGAGGTTGCCTTTAGAAAATTTAAGCTAATTACCGAGGATGTTCAGGCCAAAAACTACCTGACGAACTTCCATGACATGGACCTTAACGCGGGACTAGATGTGCTCCATGGTCAAGAAATGGCAGACCATGATTGAAGCTCATGTTGATGTCAAGACTACCGATGGGTATCTACTTCGTCTGTTCTGTGTTGGTTTTACTAAAAAACGCAATAATCAGATTCGGAAGACCTCTTATGCTCAGCACCAGCAGGTCCCCCAAATCCGAAAGAAAATGATGGAAATCATGGCCCAAGAGGTGCAGACAAATGACTTGAAAGAAGTGGTCCATAAATTGATTACAGACAGCATTGGGAAAGACATAGAAAAGGCTTGCCAGTCTATTTATCCTCTCCATGATGTGTTTGTCAGAAAAGTAAAGATGCTGAAAAAGCCCAAGTTTGAATTGGGAAAACTCATGGAGCTTCATGGTGAAGGTGGCAGTTCTGGAAAAACTACTGGCGATGAGACAGGTGCAAAAGTGGAACGAGCTGACCGCTGTGAGCCACCAGTTCAAGAATCTGTTTAAAATTCAGACTTCTTGTTGACAAATAAAAGGTCTTACTATGAAAAAAAAAAGTTCATTTAAGTACTTCTTTGAGGAAGCCCTATTTTTTTTTACATGCTTTAAAAAAATTTTTTTAAAACATTGTATTAGGGGCTCATACAACTGTTATCGCAATCCATACATACATCAATTGTGTAAAGCGCATTTGTACATTCTCAAAACATTTTCTCTCCACTTAAACCCCTGACATTAGTGCTTCATTTTTCCCCTCCTCCCTGCTCCCCCCTCCCTCATGAGCCCTTGATAGTTTATAAATTGGTATTTTGTCATATCTTGCCCTGTCTGACGTCTACCTTCACCCACTTTTCGGTTGTCTGTCCTCCAGGGAGGAGGTCACATATAGTTCCTTGTAACCGGTTCCCTCTTTCCTACCCATTCTCCCTTTACCCTCCCTGTTTCGCCACTCACACCACTGGTCCTGTAGGGCTCATCCGCCCTGGATTCCCTGGATTTTCAGTTCCCATCTGTACCAGTGTACCTCCTCTGGTCTAGCCAGTCTTACAAGATAGAATTCGAGTCATGGTAGTGGGAGCAGGAAGGAAACATTTAGGAGCTAGAGGAAAGTTGAATTTCTCATCGTTGTTACATCGCACCCTGACTGGCTCATCTCCTCCCCGAGACCCCTCTGCAAGGGGATCTCCAGAGGGAAGCCCTATTTTTAAATTGTGTACAACACTCTTACCTCCATAAGAGTGGTATGGTTGTACTCAAATTTTTACATACAGGGCATGTTGCAATGTCTATGGATGACTAGGTGAGTTTGTAAATAGCACATTAAGTGGTCCTATAGATAATGGATGCCACAAATTGCATTTAGTTTTATCTTGTTGATTGGTATAACATCTATTTTCTTTTTGTTTAATATTCATTTCTTACAAATAATAAGTTACCATTTTGAAAGATCTTGAATTCAAATGGTGGCTTTAAAGTGACATTGTTGTACAGTAAGTATTAGTCACCCAAAAAAACAAATTCACTGGCCATAAAGTCAGTGCCAACTCGTCGGAGCCTCTGTGGGTTTCCGAGACCATAGAAAGCGCATCTCTGTCCTGCTGAGTGGGTGGTGGTTTCCAGCTGCCAGCCATGTGGATTGCAGCCCACAGCGACACTGCGACACCCCCAGGGCAGTATCTGTGGATGAGGACACAGACCGCAAGCTTTTCCTCCAATACTCCCATATATTTTGGAATCAGTTATGTAGATTTTTGTTGGGGATTTGACTAGATTCTTAATTCATTTCATTTGTGTTTGTGAATTATTTGGAATTCTTTGTAGTCTAATGCAAGCACATATCTCTTTATTACTTGAGAAAGTTGAGGTTTTCTGAGAAGATGTGATCATAATGTACTGGGCTTAAATTAACTGAGAGTAAGGGTAAGCTCAAAATAGTTGAAATTTAAATGAAGTAGACATTTATTTCTTCCTGAGGTATACAAGACTCTGGAGCTGGAATAGTGACTATAACTACCCAGACCCAGATTTTTATTTTTGTTTCTTTTATCTCATGTTTTGGATGTATTGCCTGAGCTGCTGTCAAAACATCCACATTCTAGACAACATGAAAGAAGGCCGAGTATAGCCGTCTACTGTCTTAAGGATACTTCCCCCCCCACGCAATCCCTACCCCCCAGAAAATGGACAAGCCATCGATAAAGTTTAGTTTTATAGCTACATTATAGCTCAAAGGGAGATTGAGTATTGTGGCAACCATATTGTGTGGCCCAGTAAAGATCTGTGGTTCTGTGTACATAAGAGAAGAGGCCTGCAACATCAGACAGAACGAGGGGCCGCAAACTAAGCAAACCAGAGCTGCTGCCATCCCTATGACCCACAGTAACCAACGTGAGCTTGCCCGCCAGAAGAATATGAAAAAGCAGAGCAACTTGGTTAAGGGAAAGCACTGAGATGACAGGCTTTCTGTTGCTGCTCACAAGCAGAGGGACTCGGAGATCATGCAGCAAAAGCAGGAAAAGGCAAACAAGAAGAAAGGGGAACCAAAGGAGCTTTGTGGCTTTGTGTCCAACCCTCTTGGCCCTGCTTGTGTACCTGGAGCCAGTCCTACCATGCTTGCATTCCTCCTTTAGTGTTCACAGGTCCTGGCACCAATGGCATTCCCTTTGCCCGGAGTCCGCAGCAGGTCCCTTTTGTGTTCCTTCCTCTCAGGTAGCTCCCCCTCTCCCCCTGGGCCATACCTGGGGGGTGAAGGGGTTACCCCATTGCAGTCTTTTTTATTCCTATGGGACTCATCCCAAAGTATTAAATGTAGCTTTGTTTAAAAAAAAAAAAAAAGAATTATTTTGGGAGACAAAGAAGTATGTTCTGAAAGGAAATGGATTATCAATAATAATAATTCAATAATTGTGTTAGTCTGGGTAGACTAGGGAAATTCATAGAAATACTCATGTGTATAAAAAAGAGGTTTATATACAAGAGCAATTGAATGCTTAGAAAACATCCCAGCCCAGTTCAGATCAAGTCCATAAGTCCGGTATTAGTCCATATGTCTGATACCAATCTATAAAGTCCTCTCAGACTCATGAAACACATGTAATGACGCCAAATGCAGAACATCAGGGGGTTGGAAGTCTGGATCCAGTGGCGTTGTAAGCATCTCAGCACTGGCAGGGATCTCTATGTGGCTTCTCCAGCTGCATCAGGTCTGGTGGCGTCAGGGTATGTCCACATGGCTTCTCCAGCTCCCTGGGCATAGCACTATGTGTCTTGTTACTATAGCGTCTCTCCAGGAATGAGCAGAGAGAGAGAGAAGTATTGCCTATCTCTAAGGAGGAAATACAGGAATTCTCAGAAGGCCATGCCCACACAGAGAGGCCTTACTGTTTATATCTTGATTGACAGGCCAGGCTCTACCGCTTCGCTTGTAGTCCTCTCAAATCGACACCAGATTATGTAATCACCACAGACCATCCCTTGTCCATTTGACACTTACACATAACTCTTTAGCGATATATAGTTTTCAAACAATAATAAAATCTTATCTGTAAGATAAAGATAAAACTAAAATGCATATTCAATAGGTATGCATTTTGAACTCTGTAAGTGAACAAAACGAAAATGCCCTATTCCTCATGATTGTATTTAAGAACTACCTACTAATCCTATAATCCTATGAATATATTCCCACACCTATGAAAGTTTGTAAGCCAACCACTTCATGCCTTTATATGCCCAATTTTGGGTATCCCATGTCTATACTGCCCACATACATCAACCCAGTGCTCAGAGGAGACAATCATATTCTTCAACATGAAGAATCTTCATTCCAGTTGGAACCTTGTGAAGTCTGCATCCATAAGCAAAGTCAAATTGGGACAGGCCGTCCATAAAGTCGGCAGCAATATGTGCCAGTTCACAAACTCAAATATCTTCTTTTCATCTGATCGGTTTCTGGTCAACTTAGTGTGGGCCGTCTCACAAATTCTCAACAAGCTTAGCCCCTTCGTGCTAGATTATGTACTTCAGACCAGTCAACCCACTCTCGTCTTCTCTAGTTCCTGTAAATCAGGTCCACACGTGTCAGTGGCCAGACTCAACCCGTTTCTCTATAGCTGCATTTCTCCCACTTCCACTCAACAAGTGGATTCAGGTAGTTGCCTAGCAAGCATTTCATCCTGTCCACAGGCTCCCTTTAACGATAATATTAATAATTTAGATATTAGTGAATTGTTATCTGACAGGTTACTGTAGATGGAAGCTGTTTATTATGACTGGCATCAGTAGATGACTAGAAGTTTTCTGATCTCATTTAGTCATCCTTAGGTTTTTATTTACATTAATATTTTAAAATTATGAATTTTATTTAGAATTTTTACCCTTGGGGTTTTTCCTTAAATTATTCATTGGTTTTAATATATTGAAAGTGGTTTTCTATTATAACACTAACGTAACTTCAATTTCATAAGAATTTATATTTTCCTCTTGAATAATGATTATTTGCATAATAAAGGGTAAGCATTTTTGTTCTGTCAAATAGTTTGCCTTTGTATTACGTACACTAATTGTCTTTGCAGAGATTCAGTTCTGACATGGTTATTAGTGAGCACCCAAAATTTAAATGTGTGCTTGTTCATGGTACTATTTACAGAAAAAATTATAGCTTGTGTTGGAAGTATTAAAGACCAGGTTTGGTTCTCTGTCTAAAACTTTTATTGGATGTTGATAATGTACTTAACATATGTGTGGATGGTATGAAGAACAATTTTGAGTTGGATGATAAGGTACACCCAGTAAAGTGAAAACTAATTGATGAAAATAGAATTTCACGCTTAGTCTAAAAATATTGTCACAAAGAATGTTAAAGAAGTGATTTTTAAAGCATATAAGGGAGATTTAGGTTTGCTTATATCCTTAGTCAGCAGTATGACATGAACTGCATTTAGAATAAGTACCAGGGGAAGCAATTTTAAAAAGATCGTTTGATTAGAGTGTAGAGAAATAACTATGAAAATCCAACTAGGCAATGTGGCTAGAAGTGCAACAGTGACAGTGGCAACAGAGATGTGAATACATTTGAGAAGTGATTAGGAAATAAAAATATCAGAACTTGCTGATGAAGATAATATGAAAGTTAATGAGAGAGGAAAGACTAAAGAATACATCTAAGTTTTTGGCTTATGTTACTGAGAAAGTTAAATGGGAAGGATTTTCTGGGTGTAATGGTAAAGAATCCAGGACTGAGTTTTGGAAATATTTATTTTGAGATAACCTGTGATGTATGCAAGTTGACAAGTCAAGTAGGCAGTTGGATAGACTAACTTGGAACTTGAGCGTTCTAGTCTGGGAATATAAATTTGTTAATGGCATTTTGGTGATCTCTGCCACGGATCTCTGCCACAGATGAGCAGTAGTATAAAAATGAGGGAAGAGAGGATCCAGGAATACTTGAGTTAAGTGAGCATCTAGGAGCTAACAGACTGAACAAGTGTTAGGTAGGAAGACAATCAGATGAGAAGAGCTTTAGTGGATACTAAGAGGGTAAGTAAAGTACTTCACGAAGGAGGGAAACTTTTGATTGGTGCTGAGAAGTCTGCTCAGATGAGATTTGAACAGCACCCATTGGAGAGAACATAGATGTTCCTGAAGATGATTTATACTAGACAAATTTAAACGGGGGAGTGAGTAGGAGCTCATCTTGGTAATGAGTTGAAAAAAGGAATGGAAAGTGAAGAAGTGACAGCTCTTTGAATTGCTTTTCTCTGAAAGAGGTAGCTGGATGGGAATTTGGGATTAGAGGAAATGGAGTGTGTATATTGATGATCCTAGAGCAGTGGTTCTCAACTTTCCTAATGCCACGACTCTTTAATACAGTTCCTCATGTTGTGGTGACCCCCAATCATAAAATTATTTTCATTGCTACTTCATAACTGTAATTTTGTTACTGTTATGAACTGTCATGTAAATGTCTGATACACAGGATGCATTTTCATTATTACAAATTGAACATAATTAAAGCATATTGATTAATCACAAAAACTATGTAGTTATATATTGTGAAATATTTATTTCTAATGACAAATAAATGAAATTTTGTCTTGAAGCATGGTGTAGCATGGGTAACTGTCTTCACGCCAGGTACTCGTATGTGGGCGTATCTGCATGTGGGCGGACAGCCTGGAGATGAATAGAGGAGCGGTGTGTCGGGACCCACAGGTTGAGAACCACTGTCCCAGAGCCTTGTTTGTGCATGGATATAAACATACAAAATTGATGAACTGCACTGTCTCACTATGGTAGCTACTTGCCATTTATGTGCCTAATCAAATGTAAAAGGACTGAAATACAATAAAAAATTCAGTTCCTCAGTCATAACAGCACAGTTCAGGTGCTTAATTAGCTGCTCCTCCGTTGGTGTTTGATAGAACATTCCCATCAGTTATACAACAATGTGCTAGAGCAAAGGACAACACAGGATTGAGAACAGAGCAGGATCTAAAGCAGTGTTTTCTAGAGTGGGCAATCTTGTCCCCCTGGAGGGTGTTGGAGTGATCCAGGGGGGTTGCAAAAGTAGATGCCTACGACGTTTTATCCTGGATTATGACTATAGTACAAATGTTTTTTATTGCCAGGGTAGCATTGGGTAATTTTCTTTTCTGAAAAAGGGTGTGGTGGGCCAGATAAGTTTGGGAACCAATGATCTAGAGCAGGAATGGAGAACCTTTTTTTCTGCCAAGGGCCATTGGATATTTATAACATAATTGGTAGGCTATACGTAAAACACCCCAATGTGGCAGCTAGAACTGCTTCTCTTTGGTGAGGTGTGTGATGTTACCTGGGAGTGATGATTTCTTGATCAAGAGGGGGACCTGTGGGAGTAGTATTTACTTTTGATAGGTACATTTCCTTTGTTGTAACAGTAGCACAACAGAGAGATGTAGATTGGGTCCTAAGATCAGGCAATCTTTTATTTTGGTGGGGGTTTTTTTGAATAAAATATTTGAGTTCTGAACTGAGAATTTTTGTTTTGGGGGAGAGGGGTGGGGGCTCCAGGCAATGAAGGAGGGTAGAATGAGGAGGTTTGAAAATAGATTCCAACATACCAGTTTGATAATTTGAGGAGCAAAGGTTTTTTTGTTTCTCTATTTTGATCTATAAGACCATTGTTCTTCACATAACATTAGTGGTGGTGAGAATTATGATTTCTTCATGTGTAAAGTACACGGTAGACTTAGTCAAGTCTATATAAAATGTAAGCTTTTGTTATATTTTATATCTTGTTAATATTCTTTTTAGTGTTAAATGAGCACTTTGAAGCTGTACATAGAAGGCTTCTTGTGTAATTTTTTCCCCCCTCTGTATGATTTTTGCTTCTAGTTCAGGTTTGATAATGACCTAAAAAATAGAGCATTTCATCACAACTTTGTACTCTGTTTAAACAGAGTACAAACGTTGTGCTATGTTTAGAACTAGATGGGAGCTCTAAACATATTTATTAACAAACTATTTATCTTTGAACAGGGCTGATGGAGTTATGAGAACAATGAACACAGAAAAACTCCTAAAAACTGTACCAATTATTCAAAATCAAATGGATGCCCTTCTTGATTTTAATGTAAGTTGATTGTACAAAAGCTTTTGTAATTTAAGATTTAAAAACAATAGATGATAATTCAGAAATAAAGGGACGTTCTAAGCAATCCTTAATAGCCCTTAACTTGCTATGTAGCTATTGCCCAAAGACAAATATGTTCCCTATTATTTTCTTTTTTAAAAAGTTTTATTATGCAAATTTTAAAGACACAGATTAGCAAGCATAATTTTGTGATTTCCATGTGCCCATTCCCTAATTAATAGAGTCATCAATTCAATTCTTTGTGATGTTTAGACTAAAGTACATGGATTGTTGACTTGTACAAATTAAAAATGTTAGTATTTACATGGACAATGAGGTTTGAAGATAGAGAAAAACCTTTAACACTCATTGCATAAGACAGAATTATGCCTGTTGGACTAAGATGTCATAAAAAAAATCAAAGAAGTATGAAAATTATAAATGCGTGGTAGTCTTAGGTTGCCAACTATTGGGCACCCTCAGAGTAAGAGATCTGAACCAAAGTCCTATGACTTCCAAATCCACAACTTCGTGATAGCTGTCATCTTCTCACAGTAGGATGTTGTCAGTTCAGCCTTATGTACAAGGGAGTAGAGTAGTTCGGTTCCTCTTGGGATATAGGTCTATACCTGTTTTATATGGCCATTGTTGCTGAGCCCGTGTTTAGTATGGTTATCTGTATAGGAAAACTGGGATAACAATAAAGACTAGCTGGATTGGTGATTGCCTGGGGGCACAGAAGAGGAGGGTGGGTCAAATGGGGAGTTGGCTTCAATGAGTACAAGAAGAAAGGGTTCTTCTGGATGGTAATGATTGATTGCACCCTTCTTCTTGTGGTGATGATTGATTGCACCCTTCTTGATATTGAATTGTATGAGAAAGAAATTACCTTTGACCTCCATAACTTGTTTAAGCAAAATTGATTAATGTTATAGGACTTATACTTAATTGGAGTTCAGCTATAAATCTGAACCCACTTGACCATCAATTTTGTGGTCAATTGGCTTTACCTGATTTCAGTAAATAAATGTCTTTTTTTCTTTAGTATGCCTAAATGTATGAATTTACTCTATTTTAATAAAGTCTTTTTGTCAGTTTCCTTTAAAACTACCTAACCTTACTTAATGTTTATTAAAGTTTAATTAAATTAAATTTTTATTCTCATTCCTAGGTTAATAGCAATGAACTTACAAATGGGGTAATAAATGCTGCTTTCATGCTCCTGTTCAAAGATGCCATTAGACTGTTTGCAGCATACAATGAAGGAATTATTAACCTGTTGGGTAAATATTGCTGTAGTCTCATTTTATTTCTTAACTTGTGTTATGTTGATGAATATATTGACTGAAATGTTACTTAGAGCTGCCAAAAATCAAATCCTTGAGGTATATATAGGTTATCAAAGCAGTTTATTTGGAAAAAAGGATTCTACACTTAGCTGCACATGCTAAGTAATTCAACACTCACGTTTCAGAATGCTCAGCTACATGAATTACATATTTCTTAGATATATCTGGTTTTCTATCATTTTAATAAATTAAGTTTTTAATATTTAGCATTTATTAAAATTTTTTTAAACCAATCACATTTTGTCATAATTTACCATATAAATGAAAGTTTGCTTTAGAATTGTTCTTTTTGTATACTAATTTTAAAAAGCAACTATTTTAAATTTATTCAACATCAATTTTTTTGATGTCTTACTTATGAGATCCATTAGGGATTTGTGATGCCTTATTGTCTATTTCATATGTATAGACTCAGTTTTGTTTATAAAATATTTATTTCAGTGGGCTATGTAATTGCTAAGGGCACCAAAGTATCAAGTATAGATATCAGTTATGTTTACTTATTTGTGTGTTCATTCCCCCACCTCACATCTTTTAAAATTTTATTTTAATCCATTTTTATTACTGGCTAGGTTAATACAAACTCATTCAGCGATGCTTTAATCCATGGTAATATGCCAATTTGATTTACTTTTCCCCCAGGGAAAAATGGAAATTTTTCTTCAAAATTTTGTTGAGGCATAGACTTTCTACTTTATGACTAGTGCAACTTTTTTTTTCTTGAGGAGAACATTTAAGTCTTAAAAGGGACAAAGATAACACAAAGACATAGTCATGTCATCTGAATGAGGAAGGCCATTAGCACAAGGTCATAATAGTGTCCCAAAACACAAATGATTTTTTATGTATTAATCTTGTATCTTGCAACTTTGCCAAATTCATTTGTTATCTTTAATTGTGCATGTACAGTCTTTATAACTCAATAATGAAAAGACAGGCCAATTAAAATAGGCAAAGTATCAAATAGACATGTCAGCAAAGAAGATAAACAAAAGGTCAATGAAAACATGATAAAATGTTCAGCATCATTAGCCATTAGTGAAACAGTAAGATACCATTTCACACTCACTTGGATGGTTATTAAAAAAAAGACGGATAACAGCAAATATTGTTGAGTATGGAGAACTTGAAACTCACAAAGAATTGCTGGTGGGAATGTGAACTGGTCCATCTACTGTGCAAAATAGTCTTCTCATTCATCAGTAAGCTAAACATAGAATGACCATGTAACCTAGCACTTCCACTCTAGGTATATCATCAAGAGAATTGAAAACAGTTGTTGAAACAAAAACTTGTGTATTAATATTTATAGCAGCCCTGGAACCAGCAGTCTGCTTTTTAATCCAAAGATTTGCTTTTCCTGGATATCTAATATAAGTGAAATCATGTAGACATTTGTGTCTAGCTTCTTCCATTGAATAATATTCTATCTTAGGGGCTTTATGGACTTTATCACTTTATGGACATTTGATTTATGTGGGGCTATTGTGAAAAGTGCTGCTATGACTAGTGCAACTTAAGCTTCTCCCTGTCTATATATTTGCTGAATATCTAATTTTAATTTACCACTAATAATTTTATCTTATGATGACTATTCTTTGACCTATATAATCTATAGAAGTACTGGCCTTTTGCTTTCTGAGAATTTTATCTGTGATGTGTGTGAAAATATTTTGTGTCAGATTAATGTTTTTATATACTTTTGGCAGAAAAATATTTTGATATGAAAAAGAACCAATGCAAAGAAGGTCTTGACATTTATAAGAAGTTCCTAACTAGGATGACTAGGATCTCAGAGTTTCTCAAAGTTGCAGAGGTAAATTATCTTGACTGTAGTAAGGTATATCTTCAATCATAAATATGCTATATAGAATTCAGTGCTGTATGATACATTGAATAAAATGTATTCTATGATACTAAGTTCAAAATTGAGTATTGAAAGATAATCTTTTAAAACATTTACACCACCTGCAAGCCTCCAGCGTGTCTGGGTCTGGAGTGACCTTGTGCATTCCTTCAGTGCTTGCAAGAACAGTTTTGAAACGGTTTGAGGCCTTCCTCTGCACCATCTCCAGAGCAAGGTTATAGAAATTTCAGACAAACGAGAAAAGAAAAAAAAATGTTTACACCAGTGTAAAATTAGGTTGGTGGTACATAGAAGTGGTATTGGTTTTGTTTTATCCACTCATTGTCTAAGACTTACTGTGTTAAATATGGTAGAAAATATTCTGTGTGTGTGCAGATTCTTTTGAGCCACATGATTTAAAACATTTTTGTTTCTTTACAGAAATGAATTTAGGGTACTTATTGTTTGACTGTCATTGCTTAAGAAATTTTGTAAGTGTGGGTTTTAGACCTGCATCCCCCTTGACATTAAAAAATTACTCAGTGACCTCCTTGCCATTAAAACTTTTGTACTATAAATCATAATCCAGGATAAAGTGTAGGTATCTGCTTTTGCAGGCCCCCTGGATCATCCTTGCATTCCCAGTGGGCGATTATCACCTACTTTGGGAAACTCTGTTATAGATTAATCATTTTGCAAATCTTTAAATAACTTCTGAAGTTATCACAGATGGCAGTGTGGTAATATTTGGCATTATTTTGCTAGACCAGAAGTGGCTGGATATATCTTTCTGGAATAACTTTGGAAGTTTCCTTTCTTATAATTGGTTAGTTGAATCAAAGTTGTTAATCAGGAACTAGTAAAATTGATAAATCTAGGCTCAATTTCTGTAGTGGTATTTCTTTTATAAGCAAACAGAATAGGAGAGAACAAGATGACAAAACCTGTGGAAAAAGCAGCATTGTTGTTACTCAGGTGTTGCTCCATGAAATCTACTGACTTTATTCAGATTTAATTTATTTTTTCCAATAAAAGTCATTGAGTTTTTCCATTTCCTGCTAAGTAGTTGAGAAGCCCTGGTGGCGTAGTAGTGACACATTGGACTTGTAACTGATAGGTCAGGAAAAAGATGGGGCTTTCTACTTCGGAGAGAGTTACAGTCTCGAGCACTGATGGAGGGGCAGTTCTACCTTGTCGTATAGGAGTATGAGTCAACTACTCCAGGCCAGTGAGTTTGGGAATGTGGTGTAGTTACAGTTACCAGTTTAAGAGTCAGTCCTTACACTTACATGTCTGCAAATTTTAATTTTAATTTGAGATAAAATAGACTCGCCTATGATCTGAAAAATATGAGGACTCTTCTGCCCTAAAAATATCCAGTCATGAAGTTGTCTTTAGATTTGCTGTTTCATCAAGGGGTTTTAATGCTTGGATTAAAGGCAAGAATAACCTCTTAAAATATGATCAGTGAGGGACAAATGTATTTGGCAGTGATTGGCTATGATAACATCTTAGTATGAATTGGTTTATTAAATTTTCTACTTATATGCTGGAACTAATCCCAGAATACTTGAGGAAAAGTAGAGAGAATGATTAGCAAATGAAATTTAGCCATGAGTCGGAAAACAGTTTTCTAATTTGGGTTCTGAAATTGGTAAGAACAGACTTAAACCTTTTCTTGAAAATTGCTTAGTGTTTAAGCATCATGAAACTCTCTTGGGACTGCTTTGGGTGTTCTGTCAGTTATATCGTGGTTAGACATTACTTGACTTTTATGTAAGAACCTCACCTACTTTCTACCAATGTAGAAAGTGTTTTACCATGTGACACATCGAAGTATTGTTTTGTTTTTAATAGAACAGATGGATTTATCAGGTACTATTAAGGCTATTTAATATTGATGCTTAGAAGACATGGTATTGGTAACTTTAATAGCCTGGTTGAATTTCTAACTCTGTAGTTTGACTCCTGTAACAACTTTCAGAGGCATCAAATAGCATGTAAGCTATTGAAATAGGGAATGATAATTTTAGAAAGTAAATTTTTTTTTATTTAAAAATATCTGCCCAAAATATTGTTCACATAAAAATTACACAAATGTAATTTTTCTAAATTTTATTGTAAACACGATTGTCATACTTATCTATTAAAAGCAATGCTATTTTCTTTTTATAGCAAGTTGGAATTGACAGAGGGGATATACCAGACCTTTCACAGGTAATTATTGTTATGATATCAATGCACTACCTATTATGTACTGGTAGTTGTGAGGTTACGAACATGAATAATACACATTCTCTACTGCCACAGAGATTAGTGTTATTTTCCTTGACAGACTTTGTTTTGATATAATGCTGAAGATTATTCTAGCATTTTGACTCTATAAAATTATCTATTCATTTTATGCTGTCTCGTTTAGTTTACCAGGGTTTTAAACCATGGACATAAGATTCATTGTATCCACTAAAAGTGCTTTTTGCAAGTCCTGGTATCAGTGGCTGTGATTGTCATCACATTTGAAAACCTGTCATGTTTATTATATTAATGAGGCAAGATAGTGGGTTTTTTGGTTATGCTTATTAATAACTTTAGTTCATGTGTATATATGCCAGAAACACCTTGGATTCTTTATGCATTTGATTTTGCATTAATTTTTGATCATTGAAGTTTAAAAAGCTTTGTGTAAAAACCAAAAAGTAAAAAGCCTTGTGCTAGACGGCACTTAATTTATTTTGACCAATGTCATGGTTTTTGTGAAAATTATTAATATTTGTACCGTTTCAGGCCCCCAGCAGTCTTCTAGATGCTTTGGAACAACATTTAGCATCCTTGGAAGGAAAGAAAATCAAAGATTCTACAGCTGCAAGCAGGTACTTTACTCTTTATTGATTGAAGTATGAAAGTGATGTGTTTGAAGGCATAGGAGTAGAGCTCAATAGGGCTACTGTTAGGATTAAATGGTTTAGTGTGTGTAAACTCTTAAAATAATTTTGACCCTCAATAGCAATCTGTTAAAATGATGATATTGACTAGTTGAATTAAAATTATGTTTAGTATCAAAATTTTGTTTGATAAAACATTCATTTGTATGATGCTCTACATTAATTTGATTAACCCTCAAACTATCACTGTGAAGTATACATTTATAATACTGAAACCCAGACCTAAAATGTCTAGCACCAAATTTTATCATCTTTCTCCTTTGCTATCATGTGGTGTGTTATTGACATATTTTAGGCAGTACATGTTGAACTAACTTAGGTCAACAGTTTAAAATTATCAGCTACTCCTCAGGAAAAGATGAGGCTTTCTATTCCGGAAAAGCGTTAGATTTGGAAACCCACAGAGGCAACCTGCTCTCTAGGCTTGCCATGATTCAGAATTGACTTGATGGCAGTGAGTTTGGTTTTGGACTTTGAACTGATTTCCAAAACTAAGACCAATTAACTACCATATTGTGAGTAACAGAAAACATCTGAACATCTGCTTTGGTGGCATCATGGGTTACATGTTAGGCTGCTCCGTAGGAGAAAGATGAGACTTCTACTTTACAGTCTCGGAAAACCCACAGGGTCAGTTCTACCCATTCTATAGGGTTGCCTTGCCCGTGCATCAGAATTGACTTCATGGCAGCGAGAGTTAACAATCTTGTTTGATGGTGATTTGACTGATTCTCGTGTTTTCTTAAGAGAATTTTCTTTTACAAATGTGAAGGGAGGATTTGTATAAATTATAGGGGGAATTTTCCTTTGATTCTTTTCAAACAGTTTTGTTGTTTCAGAACTTTAAAAAACTAGCACCATTTCCGTAACCACACCACCTCGCTGTCATAGAGTCAGTTCCAAACCTTATCGCTGTATGCACGGTCTCCAAGGCTGTCTAGTCATC